GTTCTAGAACACATTTGTCAAAGTAAAAACTGAACAAAGTGTTGATTCAAAAAACGATGACATTATTTCCAAGTTTAATGAGAGTGATGATGAAACTGTTGATTGTTCACAACATGATGTTATGAGTTTGAAAAGTGAACCAAAAGAAGAGTTTCAACAAATTAAGTCTGAGTTAGAAGGTTTATCAGGTGAGTGTAAACTTCAATAATTATATCCATCAACCATATGCTGGTAGACAATATAGTAGAAAAATGGTGTTACTGTATTGTGTTAACCATATGGTGGTAGACATACTAGTAGAAAAATGGTGTTACTGAATTGTGTTAACCATATGGTGTAGACATACTAGTAGAAAAGTGGTGTTACTGAATTGTGTTAACCATATGGTGTAGACATACTAGTAGAAAAATGGTGCTACTGTATTGTGTTAACCATATGATGATAGACATAGTAGTAGAAAAATGGTGTTACTGTATTGTGTTAACCATATGGTGATAGACATAGTAGTAGAAAAATGGTGTTACTGTATTGTGTTAACCTTATGGTGGTAGACATACTAGTAGAAAAGTGGTGTTACTACATTGTGTTAACCATATGGTGGTAGACATACTAGTAGAAAAATGGTGTTACTGTATTGTGTTAACCATATGGTGGTAGACATACTAGTAGAAAAGTGGTGTTACTGCATTGTGTTAACCACATGGTGGTAGACATAGTAGTAGAAAAATGGTGTTACTGTATTGTGGTAACCATATGGTGGTAGACATAGTAGTAGAAAAGTGGTGTTACTGTATTGTGTTAACCATATGGTGGTAGACATACTAGTAGAAAAGTGGTGTTACTGTATTGTGTTAACCATGTGGTGGTAGACATACTTACAGAAAAGTGGTGTTACTGTATTGTGTTAACCATATGGTGGTAGACATAGTAGTAGAAAATTGGTGTTACTGTATTGTGTTAAATAATGTTAATAATATACAGTTTTTATAGAATAAAGTTTATAACACAGAATTGTCTTTAGGATATTTACAGACTTATGTTAGATATGTTTATTGATGTTCCTCGTTACAAGTACTTTAAGTAAATATGAAACCTAATCTATCATTTTATTGTAACTTTAGATAAGCTCCATTTATTGACCTTCTTACTACAGGCAGGTTAAAGTGCACTTGTGTAGACTTTTTAGAGATTTACATTCAAAATTGTTTTAAACTACTTTATTATCATTGTATCTGAATAAAATGGCATCAAAATGTAATAAATAAATAAGATTTTAAATTCTTATGAGGGAATATTTTAGAAAGTCCTCATTCTCCTCTAATATGAGAACTGTGACATTTTCTCTCTATGTCTTCCCTCTTCTCTAATTTATTTACCACCCCTCTGAGTTAATTAAGTTGTTTCCTTACTTTCTATTTAAACATTATTATAAATGTAGTTAATAAAGCATTTCTAGTGTAAACAAAACATGGAAATGTAGTTGTTGTTTTTTATGACATCCTTAGTGTCATATTTATTACGGTAGCACTGACACCAGTAGCATGAGGTAGATGAAGAAAAAGGACCAAAATAACAGCTAGGAAAATATTGGAATTCAAAACAGGCTGACTTACCACTAAAATATGAAAAGTGTTACATTGTTGTGTTGCTTTTATAATATAAACAAATGTTAATAGTGTTCTGTGATGAAATGCAGAGTGTGTATCAACTTACCCATTTGTCCAACTCTCATGTGACTTATTGTACTTGCATCACTCCTGCTTTCTTGCAATATAATCCAGGTTTTGTTTTAACAGTTATGCTGCTAAATTTGACTCAATTTATTAGGGAGTTATTTTCAATTCTGAGACAAATAGTTCCTACAATGATCATAACTTTTATGGAGGCTGTCTGTCTGTTGTCTCTTATTGATGAACATTTCATGGTGTTAGCACTTGATCCCTGGCACATTTCATGATGTTAGCACTTGATCCCTGGCACATTTCATGGTGTTAGTACTTGATCCCTGGCACATTTCATGATGTCTTGGATGCTTGATTTGTGGAATGTCGATAATTTTCACATGATTTTGAAATATATCAACTTTTACTCAGGCCATTTTTAGTTTCATTATTTGCAACAAGGGCTTTGTATGGTAGCCATAATACTTTTGAAATGTTATCTGTTCTTATTTCTCTTTTTTACTTTGGTATATTTTATTTTACATCTTGAATCAGCTTCTATTAGTGTGTTAGTGTCATGTCGGATAATTCTATACTTTAACTCCTGTTTACTTCACTATTTCACGATGTGTGTTTTGTAGCTTATACTGTTAGAAATTTACGAAATAATAAGGTCACTTTTATTCTACTATCACATGATCTTTTATCATTGTCAATTTTCTGTGCTCTATGCTGTTTTCTTAGACTTTGTTATCTTGTACAAGACATTCAGCTATTAGCTATTGTTATTCTGATTCTTTTAGTGACGATCAAATATCCACTATACAGCATTCATTAACTGCAGGTCTCACTGATAATGTTTCTGTTACGACTTTGTTTTTAACACTTCAGCCCATCATGGGGTGTTAAAATTTACTAATCCCCTCCCAAAAATTTCAGCTAACCTTGCAATAGCTTCTTCTGAAACAAGATGGTTATCACTTTACATACAGAAGTTATTACTTGTAAGTATGCCGTTGAGACTTTGTGTATGCCGCTATCCTTGAGCTATTTCCCCTTAGACTCATGATATAACAGGAACTGTGCTAGTGCATGATGAAATCATTCATGTGACAGTAACCCTCCACCAGTATTGGCATGTCACCTCCTCCATTCACAGTGATCTTTGATCTGGAGAATTAATGCATATTGAAAGCAGCACTGAACAAGAATAGCTATTTATGCATTTTTTTTTTTTTATTTT